CTCTGCCAGCTAACTTTTGATTGGCTCCTTGCCACGAGGGCATCTGACCTTAGTGACCAGGACAGGAGCAGCAAGGTCATGCAAGCACATGTTAGCCTGTCATGGCTGCTAAAATGGGGTACTGGTCACTACACAGGGAAGTGAAGGCAGGGAGGAGAATAAAAATATAGATAATTGTTTGATCCCTTGTTCTCAGCTAGCTTGCTCCTCTCTTACATAGTTGAGGACCTTCTTTCTGTCTAGGGAATAGTGTCACTCATAGTGGGCTGAGTCTCCCTACATCAGTTAACAACCAAGACAAGACCACACAGACATGCCCACAGGCTAATCTGAGCTAGATATTTTTTTCTGACTCTCTTCCCAGGTGACTCTGGGCCATGTCACTGTGGTAGTTTAAATAAGAATGGCCCCTATAGGCTCTCGGATTTGAGGGCTTGGTCACCAGGAATTGGCACTGTTTGAAAAGATTAGGAGGTGTCACTGGGGATGGGCTTTGTGGTTTCAAAAAGCCTACTCCAAGCCCAAAGTCTCTTTCTTCCTGCTGCTTGTGAATCTGGATCTGGAAATAGACGTCTCAACTCCTTCTCCACCACCATGTCTGCCTGTACGTCACCATGCTCTCTACCATAATGACAAAGGACTAAGCCTCTCAAACTGTGTGCCAGCCCCAATGAAATGCTTTCCTTTATAAGAGCTGCCTCAGTCATAGAGTCTCTCTTCACATAACAGAACACGACTAAGACAGTTATGTTGATAAAACTAGCCAGCACAATTCACTCCTTGTCAGTTTGATTCATAAATATGCCATCTAAGCCATAATTTTCCATTCCTTGTCTCCAAAGCCTCATCTGTTAACATGATATAAAGTAAGTCCAACTCCAAGAAACTCCCAAATGTGGGAACAAGAGATCTTGGCTGGAGGCCCACTTCCCCATCAGCCTGGGAGCAGGCAGCTGTAACCTACTGCAGAGAAAACATGTTTACCAAAAACATGTTTTCTAAAAACAATCCAGAGCCCATAATCACAAATAAAAACATGTTTACAGGAGCAATAAATTCCTGACAAAGGCTCACCCATGGGAACACCCTGACCTTGATCTTTTCAATGACTAACCACCTCTTCCTGACCCCCCCACCCCTGCCTCTGGTGTCAGGGTATATAACCAGCCGGGGTAAGAATAAAGCAAAGCCTTCTTTCACCACCGACTGGTCTCTGTGTCATCAATCCCGACACCCTCTGCAGATTCTCGGTCCCAGGCTGTGCGGACGAGGCACCCAAAGACTCTCAATCCTATCAATTAAAAAGAAAAGCTATAGATTTAACGGGAAGAACTGGGGCATAAAAGAAGTCACACCCAAGCAAAACTAAAATCCAGCAGCATAAATCCAAATTCTGTAGTTCAGTGTCTGACATATGGGACCCACGAGCAATCATTTGGGCTCCAAAGGGCTCATGAAGTTCCATTTCTCCTGCTCTGTCATCTTCAACATGGAGTCTCTCCGCCAGCTCCACCCCACACCTGTAGCGCCCCTTGACAGACAGCCCACGGTCCTGGTACCTTCAGTGTGTGGGGTCTCTGCTATAACTGAGGCTTCACCATTACCAATGTCTTTTCAGCACCTCTGCAGGGATTTTCCCCTGCCACACAGTGTCAAGTCTCAGCCGCTTTCCATGATCTCTTCAACCTTGCATTTTGCATGCCCTCAACACCAGTACCACCAGAACGATGCTTACCACATTGCCAACTTTGACCAGCTCAATATGTAGCCTGGTTCCCGTGGGTCAGCTACTGTGTGCTGATCCTGAGGAAACATGTTCTTATTGTCCCAATGAAACATGGGAAATTTTGCTTCAGTGGTGCTGTGCTCTGTGACAATCAACTGCTTCTTCAGAATGATCAGCACTCTCAGGCAGGGATCCAAAGGCTCCCTCTTTGAAGGAATGTCAATGGGCAACAACTGATAATAGTGATGGCCTCTTAAAATCAGCTGAGATGATCCGATGAAGGTGACTTGTTCAGAGGGTCCTGTCCCACCTCTAAAAAGGAGGCCTAGCTTTGCTTGACCATGTCCACGCTGGGCCTCACTTCCATTTTGTCAGTTAGGCAACATTGGCACAGGTATCAACCCTGAAGCATAAACAAAGCCATTAAGATAGTCATCTAAGCATTTCCTGCCCGGTTCTGATGCTCAAATTGTCTTTGTATTGATGTTGGACTTGTTAATAGTGTTTGAGGAAGCCAGGATTTACTCCAGGTAGTTGTGGGTCACCTTTGTCCAGTTTAGCATACAAACCCATCCTCTGTCTGTCTTATTTCCACCTGACATTTACTTCTGACACCAAGTCTCCAAAAAAACTGTACCATAGACGATCTGAGCCCACCCACCTGTTTTTTGGGGGTCTCACAGATACCTTGTAAGTGGTTCTTATACGAGAAGACCTGGTATTTCGGGCCAAGGTGAGTCGCCACCCTGGCTCTGAACACTGACAGCCCCTATGGAGGGGACAGTGGGTATCCTGATTCTCCTTTGTGGACAGTAGGGACACTGTAGGGAGCCAGTTACTGACAAATTCTCAGCTGAGGTCTAGAAGCTTCTTTGGCAACCTCGTTTTGGCCACAAGATGGGTGGGGTGGGATGTGTCTGTGGCATGACCAGGATCATTTTCAAGGGACACTGTAGATATGTGACATGGGAGAGCCCCAGAGTTTGGCAGCACCCCTGGTTTCTACTAGTGTGTGCCAGTGGCGTCTTCACAGGCTCCAAACCAGAAATGCCCTCAGATGCTGGCAGATGAATCCTCGGGGCCCACTTCCCTGGCTGTGAAGTGCTGGACTGGGGATGGGATCCAGGTGATCTGTGGGTTCCTGCCAGGAGCACTGTGGGCCTGGAGCAGGGAGGCACACAGGCTCATATTCTGAGTGCCATCTTGGTTGCAGGAAGGCCACCAAACCCAATCGATTCTTTCATGAGGACAAAGGGGTTCTGAGGGGGGCATCCAGGGAGGTGACCTGTAGTACCTGGTCCCTGTAGTGGCTGAGGCCCTGCACTTCTCAGAGCTCCATTCCCCCTGCGAATGTCCTTGCTATTGCTCCTAGCTCTCTCCTGCCTGGGAAGCCCGTGCTCATGGCCTCTGGTAAGTCCCCGCCCACCCTAGTAACGGCTTTGTATCAGTAACACTATCCTGGACCCAACTGTTCACTCTTATGGCTTGCCTGAACACAGGGTGACAACACCTGGTCCAGATGTGGGTGGCAGGAGGTGTGTCCCTGTTCTCTGACTTGTTCACATTGGTTTTAGTATCTGCCTCCAAAAGCAAGCCAGTGGGCATTGTGGGAGGCCACCGTAGCCAGAGGGGAAGGTGGCCATGGCAAGTCAGCCTGAGAACTTACAGCTACAAGACAGGCTACTGGGAACACATCTGTGGGGGCTCCATCATCCATCCACAGTGGCTACTGACTGCCGCCCACTGCATCCAAAGGTGAGACACTGCTGGGTGTAGGAGACAGATGGTGGGCTGCCCCAGACCAGCTGCCTTTGAGCCACCCAGGGTCTGATCCCCCCAGCCAGGATGCGGACCCAGCCTTATACAGGGTCCAGGTGGGGGAAATACACCTCTACAAGGAACAGAAGCTTCTAAACATCAGCGAGATATTCATCCACCCCGACTTCAACAATCTTAATAAGAGGTTTGACTTGGCCTTGCTGAAGCTGACTACCTTCCTGAATTATGTCTAGCCAGTCTCTCTGCCAGAAGACAACTTGACCTTCAACTCAAATGTCCCGTGCTGGCTGTCTGGGGTAACCTTCTTGATAATGGTAAGCATAGCTGGGGCTGAAAGGTGGAGAGACAGAGGGGATGTTGCACAATCTCCTGTTCCCTGTTCCTTCCCAGAGGGCCAGCTAGCGGTGTGGAAATGAATGGATAGAAGCAAGACTCTTTTATGGCTCAGCTGTTGCATAGGGTAGGCTTCTTGGCCTCCAGTGAAATGCCCACAGGGGCATTTTCAGATCTCCTGGTCAGCAAGTAGACAAGGCAGAATCAGCTGGGGGGCCCTGGCTTGAAGCTGCTGCTGCTTTTTGGGCTCTATCCCATGCAGGAGGGAGTCTGATTAGATCCCCACGTAGAGGAACATCACTTCTTCATGTGATCTGGGTAGGTGTACACATACCTCTCTCTTGTATATGTTGTAGACATGCACCATAGACCCAGGGTGCAAGCAATGGCAGTGAGCTCTCATCTTGGAATATCTGAGGCCAAGATTTCACCACTGGCTTCAGGGCACAGTCCTTGTCCCTTCCAGTTTCTCCAGGTCCACATGCCATCATTTGTGGCTTTATCACTAAACTCTGTAGTGTTTCCATGTGGCTTTCCCCTCTGTGTTCTCTTCTGTCTCCTAAGAGAACTCTTACAATGGGAGCTAGGGCCCACTCAAAATCCAGAATAAACTCACCGACTAGGAAGCCTAGGCTGCCTCAAACTTATGATCCTCCTGCCCAGGCTCAAGAGCTAGGATCATAAACCTGTGCCAACATGCCTACCTCAGAATGGCCTCATTTTTTATTTTTATTTTTATTTTTTTTGGCCTCATTTTTTAAAAAGCTTAATATCATATGTAAATAATTTATCTCTAAGTAAAGTCATTCTGAAGTTCTAGGTGGACATAAATTTGGAGGGTCTCTAACTTCATTATATATATATATATATACACACACACACATATATATATATATTTTTTTTTGAGACAGGGTTTCTCTGTATGGTATTGGCTGTCCTGGAACTCACTCTGTAGACCAGGTTGGCCTTGAACTCACAGAGATTCTTCTGCCTCTGCCTCCCAAGTGCTGGGAATAAAGGTGTGAGCCACCACCACCCTGTTCTAACCTCTTTTATAGGCTGGAAACCCATCTAACATAGAAAGATATGTGTAGGGGTGAGCCCTTATGGGGCGTGGACAGGGGAGCGGCACAGGTGAGGAGAAAAGGGAAACAAAAGCAAAAGCACTCTCTCTTGGAAGCCTGCCACGCTTCTGGTCTTCCAGCTTGTGTGTAAGTTCTTCCTCTGGTAAGTAAATATATTAATTTCCATATTGCATTAACCTCCCTCGTCAGATATGTCTGTAAAGATAGCTTGAGATCATGACTCCATCCAGGACACATGGGGGACAGGAGGCTCTGACTCAATCCAGGCCAAGCAGTGAGGCCAGGGCCAGTGTGACTGGCATTAAGTGCATCTGTTGGGGCTGGGGGACACGGCCCCTCACTCCTGCCTCCTACACCCCTCCCCCAGTGCCTCTGCCGCCTCCCTATCAGTTGTACGAGGAGGAGATCCCGATTCAGGATGCCAAGCCTTGTGAGCAGGCTTACAGGAAGAAAATGCGTGACAGCGACAAAACTAAGATCATCTTTGAGGACATGCTGTGTGCTGGCACCTTAGGCTGAGGCCCCTGTTTTGTGAGGCATCCAGGCTCAGCTGTGACCCTCTAGAAGCTTTACCCTTCGAGGGGGGCTGGATTCAGGCACTTCCCTGTGCTTTGCCTCTGATGGTACTGCCTCTGTTCCCACAGGGTGACTCTGGGGGGCCCTTGGTCTGCTAGAAGAGCAAAAAGTGTTTGCAGGTGGGAGTGGTTAGTGGGGAAAGGATTGCAGCACCAAGCTGCCCGCAGTCTTCTCCAGAGTCCAGAGTTCCTTGTTCTGGATACATTGGCACTTCCAGCAGACATGTTCACCGGCTGCTGCCAAGCAACAGAGACAGCTCGCTGACACCGCTGTTCTGCCCTTCCTAGGCCCTTGTTTGCCCTGTAGCCTATCCCTTTGTCCCTGGCCTGTCCTTCCCTGGTGACAGGAATGCCCAAGTTCCTGGGGGGGGGGCTGCTGTGTGGTTGTGTCTGTCTCATTAAACTCACTGAATAAGTGAAGGTGGTCAGAGTGGTCTTTGAGGTGAGGTCATGGCTGTGGAGGGGGTGGACTCAGGGATTCCAGGGTCAGTTATGATCCCTCACTTTTTTTTGTAGCACCCCAGTCTTGAGGTGGAGTATGTCGATGGACAAATATAACAAACAAAATGCAAATCAGGACCAAGATTAGGATGCATTTATTTAGTGTGTGGTAGCACACACTTAAGAACCATTTTTTTTTCATAACCTCTTGACTTTAAGTTACTTTTGGAAGGGCTGTCCCAAGCAGCTAACTCCATCTCATTGGTTTGAGACAGGGCATCATGAAGCCTAGGTTGGCCTCAAACTTACAACCTTCTGTTTCAGCTTCCCAAGTGCCGAGATCACAGGAGAGAGAGCACTGCCAGGTCCAGTGTGACTTAATTTCAGTTCTAACAACTTCCTCCCTTGTGTCTGAACAACAATGTCTTTAGAGACATTGCTGATTAGTCATCTGGTAGTTTGTCTGCCATTGTCCCGAGATTGCTAATAAAGATTCTTGTCCTGGTTTGGTTTGAGTCACACACTGGTAGTAGTGGGGTAAGGGACAAATGTCAAGGAGCCAGTGTCAATGAACTCTTTAGGGCCAATTTAAGCAACAGAGGTATAGAAGGTGACTGTTTAGCTATATGTCTTTATGAAAACACAACCAACGAGAGCAAGGCTATCTTGAAAATTAAATAATCAGGTACAGTTTACAAATAATCCAAACCTGGCAATCTTTAGAAGGCTTACATAGTATGAGAGGTATCTATCCACAGAGCCAACAATTAGCATCAAGACACAGAAGAACTATATAGAAGCTACTTCTAAAGCAAAAAATAGAATTCTTTGGCTTGGTAGAATAAATCTAAAGGCAATTACATTTATTACTTATTTTATTGTATATATGTAAATTGCATGCATATCCATGTACTTACATTCAGGCCTGGTTGCTAAGGAGGCCAGAAGAAGGCATCAGATCCTCTGGAATTGGAGTTACAGTTGGTTGTGAGTCCCATGTGGGTTCTGGGAATCAAGCCTGCATCCTCTGGAAAGGCAGCCGGTGTCTTTAAGCACTGTGACATCCAAGTCCTAGAATGGCAATTTTTTTTAAAGACTTTATTTATTATGTACACAGCATTCTGTCTGCAAATATGCTTGCAGGCCAGAAGAGGGCACCAGATCTCATTACGGATGGTTGTGAGCCATCATGTGGTTGATGGGAATTGAACTCAGGACCTCTGGAAGAACAGCCAGTGTTCTTAACCTCTGAGCCATCTCTCCAGCCCTAAAATGGCAATTTTTAAATGCCTTTTTTTTTCTAAGTCTAAGACACAAATGGGTCAGCATTATATTATACATACCTTTTTAAAGACGGTGGGAGGATCCTTGATTCCTATCATTATCCATTTTAAACAAGAGCCAATTGGTTTCAGGAGCCAGTAGCTGGAAGAAGGTCCAGTGCAGCATGAAAAGATACTATCATTTTTATCAGTTGTTCCTTTAAAAGTGAGGCCAGCTTGGTGGACTGGAAGACTTTCCTTGTTGGTGCTCTGTAGTCTCATTGAGTGTCCTTTCTCATACAGGTACCACCATGTGATTGTCTTGTCTTTTTTTTTTTTTTTTTTTTTTTTTGGTTTTTCGAGACAGGGTTTCTCTGTGGCTTTAGAGGCTGTCATGGAACTAGCTTTTGTAGACCAGGCTGGTCTGGAACTCACAGAGATCCGCCTGCCTCTGCCTCCCGAGTGCTGGGATTAAAGGTGTGCACCACCAATGCCCAGCTTGTCTTTTTATCCTTAGCAGTCTTAGCTTATACTAGTGAGCTTGACACACGGTCCAAATGAGTCGGAAACATTAAATGTTTATCTTTTTAATCAAATACCATAAAACTTGTGTTTATGATTAAGGAACTAAAATCTTTTCCCTGCCACCTTATAAACCCTTATGCAAATGTTTTGATTCCCCATCTTAGTAAAATCTTTGTTTACATTAAAGCCCTAAGGGGGCCAATCTCTTCCCCCTTTCCTTCATTTCCTTTGTGTTGATTCTTTTAAAACTAGCCAGTCATGGAAGACTGTGGGAAAAAGACATAGTCACCACGTGGACTAGACTAAAAATCAAGTGTACTTCTTGTCCCATGTGCTCATACCAGCTGGCACAGTGGTCTCCATGTCCTGAATTTCTTTCTTTCTTTCTCTCTTTCTTTTCTTCTTCTTCTTTTTTTTTTTTTGAGACAGGGTTTCTCTGTATTGTTTTGGAGGTTGTCCTGGAACTCACTCTGTAGACCAGGCTGGTCTCAAGCTCACAGAGATCTGCCTGCCTCTTGGGAGTGCTGGGACTAAAGGCATGAGCCACCAACGCCTGGCCCCCGAATTTCTTTCTAACAGAGGAAAGCAGGGCATGTTCTGGTCAACTGTGCCCACCACTCAGGCTGGCTCTGAGCTGCTTCAGCCTCTTCCCTGAACAACAGCATGACATTTACAACTGTAAATTTTGCATAATATATAAAGTTTAGGAACAGTCAAGCATGTTTCTAGTCAGAAGCATAGGGTGTTAAATGTACTAAAGCCACTTGAAAATAGTTGTTAACAAAGCATTTAAAGATGTTGCCACAGGGGCTGGAGAGATGCCTCAGAGGTTAAGAGCACTGACTGATCTTCCAGAGATCCTAAGTTCAATTCCCAGCAACCATATGGTGGCTCACAAACCATCTGTAATGAGATCTGGTGCCCTCTTTTTTTTTTTTTTTTTTTTTTTTTTTTTTGGTTTTTCGAGACAGGGTTTCTCTGTATTGTCTTGGAGGCTGTCCTGGAACTCACTTTGTAGACCAGGTTAGCCTCGAACTCACAGAGATCCACTTGCCTCTGCCTCCCGAGTGCTGGGATTAAAGGTGTGCGCCACCAACGCCTGGCCTGGTAGGGCCCTCTTTGGGCCTGCAGGCAGACATGCATTCAGAACACTGAATACATAGTAAATTAAAAAAAAAAAAAAAGATGCTGCCACAGACCTATCCTTGAATAGACCTTGACTTTAAGAAGACACTTTCTAAGTTGCCAAAAGTCTGAAACACAGACATCAGAAAACAACACATTTTTTTTTCCGGATGAAACATACAATCTTGTCTTAAGTTGACAACATAGCATACTAAACAAACAATTTCTTTAGGAGCATCAAGTATAGAGATCGCTCAGTGGTTGGGAGCACTGGCTGCTCTTTTAGAGATACTTGCTTGGTTCTTAGCACTCAACACACAGTTCACCACTGTAACCAAGGTGCAACCAGACCACTCCGTGGCTGGAAAGATAAGCTTATTTGGGGAATCAAACGGCCAGGCTGCCTCTCAGAGGACAGCAGCCCACAGGGAAAGGCCTTGTCAATTTGAAGAGGACGTAGTGTTGGGAGGAGAGGTGCAGGCCAGAACAGCCTGGGAGGTGGCGTGGGGGCTTTGATCTGTGGTAGGCGGTTTCTGTTCATCAGGAAGGAGGTGTCCTTGCCCAGGGTAGTTGACCATCATCGTGGATGAGGGGAGGAATGGCTTTCCTCGTAGCAGAAACCAACCTTACATGATCCCTGGGGCATGATGAACTTGGGTGTGTGTTTACCCAATAACAATCCTGTTTACCTGATCAGAGTCCTTTTGTTCAGGATATTGTCACCAGCACTGCCATTTTGGAGGCCTGGCTTGGACCTAAAAACCTTTGATAGCTCCAGTTCCAGGGGATCTGACATCTTCTTCTGGACTCTAGGTGTACTGCATACACATGGTACACTTATATACAAGTGTAACACTCATACACATAAAAGTAAATAAAATATTAAAAGTAAATAAAATATTAAAAACCAAACAAAACCAAAAACTATCTTGAAGCTTGTGTGGTGCACACATTTAATTCCAGAACTTGGGAGGCAGAGGCAGGTGGATCTCCAGGAGTTTGGGACGGGCCTGGTCTGTATAGTGACTTCAAGGCCAGCCAAGGCTACATAGTGAGATCTCCCTCCCCCAACAAAACAATACAAAACAAAACAAGTCTATCTGGTTGCTTTAGACATAGAGATTAGGTTACTCTGTATCATCTAATGCATACTTATATTGTAGATAAGAACATGACATATAAACATAGTTACATTTTAAAACCATTTAACAAGTACTTCAGCAGGTGGTGGTGACAAATGCCTTTAATAATTCCAGCTTTCCAGAGACAGAGATGGGTGAATCTCTGTGAGTTCAAGGCCAGCCTGGTCTACAGAGAGGTCCAGGACAGACTCCAGAGCTACACAGAGAAACTGTCTTGAAAAACAAAAACAAATAAACAAAAAATAAAAAAAAAAACAAAGAACTTCAATGCTAGCTCGACCCTGGGAAGAACAGCCATTAAAACTACAAAGAACAAATCAGAGAGAAACTGGATTGGATACTTACATTAAATTTGAACTAGGATACCCAGGCCATGCTCTCTTGGAAGAGCCTCTCTCTTTCTCTAATAAATGTCAAAGAAGGCAAAGGTACCCAACTGAGATTTTGCCTGATTCTTAGACTCTTATTTTTCAAATGCAGTGTTCTGAAACCATAAGCAAGCAATTTCATGTGGTGGTCAGGCATTAGCCTGTCACTGTTTCTCTTTGAATAAACTCACATGCTCTCATTTGACTGACATCTTTTTTTTTTTTTTTTTTTTTTTTTTGGTTTTTCGAGACAGGGTTTCTCTGTTTTGTTTTGGAGGCTGTCTTGGATCTCTGTAGACCAGGCTGGCCTCGAACTCACTGAGATCCACCTGCCTCTGCCTCCCAAGTGCTGGGATTAAAGGTGTGCACCACCAACGCCTGGCTTGACTGACATCTTAACAAACACAGAGATACAGTAGATCTGCACTAGATTTAGTTATTTATTGTTTTCCGAGACACAGTTTTATAAGAGGAAGATTGCCATACACAGGATAGGGATGCTGTATGCTATTTTACCAGGGATAGTCTCTCCCTACATGGTTTCTCTGTGTAGCCCTAGCTGTCCTGAAACTCACTCTGTAGACCAGGCTGGTCTCATACTAAGAGATTTGCCTGCCTCTGCCTTCCAAGTCCTGGGATAAAAGATGTGTGCCACAGTGCCTGGATTTTACACTTTTTGTTTTAACTGACCTACTGTCAGCTGTGATCATCTCAGTTATGAGAGCAGCTTCTATTATTGCTATTTAGTTTCAGGGTTAGGGTTAGGATACAGTCCCAACTGGTTGGAATAAAGACTTTCAGTTGTCTATAAACCGTCTGAGTGGCCATCTCTTGTTGGCTCCCTATAACAATTCTCTCAGTCTAGAAAATTTTGTTTGTTTGTTTTGTTTTTGTTTTTTCGAGACATGGTTTCTCTGTATTGTTTTGGAGTCTGTCCTGGAACTTGCTCTGTAGACCAGGCTGGCCTCGAACTCACAGAGATCTGCCTGCCTCTGCCTCCCGAGTGCTGGGATTAAAGGCATGCGCCACCAACGCCCGGCTAAAGTTTGCTTTTTTAAAGCTTTATTATTATTATTATTATTATGTTTTTCGAGACAGGGTTTCTGTGCATAGCTTTACAGCCTATACGGGCTGACCTCGAACTCACAGAGATCCACCTGCTCCTGCCTTCTGAGTGCTGGGATTAAAGGCGTGCGCCACCACTGTCGGGCTGCAGCCAGTACTCTTAACAGCTGAGCCATCTCTGCAGTCCCCCTGCTATCTTAGTCCCAGCGGTGCTCCCCTCCCTATCTGTCTTCCTGTCAGGGATCTATCTAACTGCTAATCCCTCAATTCGACATTTCACATCTTCCAGAAGCACTTTGCGTAGTGCTAAGGTTGTCACTAATACATTCTCCTTGTCCCTAGGACTGGGATGCAGTAGGGCACACGGGAAAAAGGTGGTTTTGCCACTCCATAACTCCTGGGTAGACCCTGTGCTCTGAGACCCTGGTACCCTAGTGCTGCTGCCCTGTCCTAGCTGCTGCCCAACATCCCTTCTTGCAACAGAGCCCCAGGTAGCCACATCCTTCTAACGACATCCTGACACCAGAACCTGGTCATGACCCTCTCACTGGCCAGTCTGTGGCCCCTTGTTAACAGCTGCACCCCATTACCATATGGCTCCTGGTTCTTTCTGATCCTATCACTAGATGTGACAATGGTGGCTTGACTGTTGTTATGATGGTCATCCAAACATTTCCCGTCAGGCTCTGATGCCCATATTTTCTTTTTACTGATGTTGGACACATTAATAATGTTTGAGGAAGGGTTCAGGGCTCAGGCTTGAGGTACCTGTAGGTCTTCTTTGTCCAGTTTAGCATATAAACCCTTCCTCCTGCCCAGGGGTGTGGGAATTGTCTGCCTGAGAAATACTTCTGCCATAGAGTTCGCAAGAACCTGTGTCCTGGGCAGTTGTGGGCACACCCACCTCTTTTAGGGGCCTCACAACACCTGTGGCTAGTTCTTTCACAGGGGGCCCTGGTATTTCTGGAACAAAGGTGAGTCCGCATCCTGGCTCTGAGCTGCCTCTGAAAGCACCTATGGAGGGAACAGTGGGTGTCCTGATTCTCCTTTGTGGATGGTAGGGGCACTGCAGGAAGCTAGTTACTGACAAATTCTCAGCTGAGGTCTAGAAGCTTCTTTGGCATCCTTGTTTTGGCCACAAGATGGGTGGGGTGGGATGTGTCTGTGCCAGGACCAGATTCATTTTCAAGGGACACTGTAGATATGTGACATGGGAGAGCCCCAGAGTTTGGCAGCACCCCTGGTTTCTACTAGTGTGTGCCAGTGGCGTCTTCACAGGCTCCAAACCAGAAATGCCCTCAGATGCTGGCAGATGTGTCCTCGGGCCCATTTCCCTGGCTGTGAAGTGCTGGACTGGGGATGGGATCCAGGTGATCTGTGTGTTCCTGCCAGGAGCACAGAGCAGCCAAAGCCAGGCTAGCTAGGTGTCCCTTTGACTCAAGAAGGGCAAATTCCATTGTAGAGCTAGAAGTGGGGCAGGCATATGGCCTGTCGTTAGCATAGAGGTCCCTTGGGACTCCTGCAGGGCCTTTAGCCATCCAAATCCTCAGGGGCCAGAATAAGACTTCAGGCATGTATTGTCCACAGACGGTTTAGCCCACTGTAGGCACCAGGCAGCATCTGTTCATAGATGTGGCAGTAAAGTTAGTCACAGCAGTCACAGTCCTGGGTTGTGTGTGTCCCTGACCAGCACTGGGCTCTTAAGCTTCAGCTGCCCACTGAAGCAGCAAGGACACCCATGCAGAATGCCCTGGTGCAGTTTCTGCAGGATGCATTGTGTGGTGTTGGACACTGCGGGTCCAGCAGAGGAGCCCCAACCTGAAGCTCCGCATGACATGTCGTGTGTACGGCGTGTGCTCCCAGCACCGGGAAGTTGCTCTACTGGAGTCTCAGAGTTAACTAGACAAATGGGGGACTGTCTCACTCATAAAACCCAGGCTGCAGCAGGGATACCTGGCACTTCTGAGCCACAAGCCTGAGACACTGCCCTCATCTTTCTAACATTGCTGGTGATGCTGCTTCAAGCAGGTGGTGACACCCATGTAACCTTGGTGGCAAAGGACTTCAGGTCCTTAGCCTGGATCACCAGCCCCCTCCCACCCTTCTTGAGGTCAAATACCATTTCCTCTTAGCTCTTCCTCCAAGGGGAGGCCTGGCCAAGCCACCTGCCCACTTCCTGGGGCTTGAGGATAAAGGGGCTGAGAGGCTCAAGCAGGAGGAAACTGTCAAGACCTGGCATGGTAAGGGCACCACCCCCTCCTTTCCCAGGTGCCTCCACCGGCTTTGGATTTCAATGTTCTCCATGCCCAATCAGGCAAGCCCAGTCCCATCCACGCCTCTCTACGCTCCCATCCTTGCCCAGAATCATGCTCCAGTCCTTCCCATCCTCACCCAGGCTATTCCCAGGCCCCTCCAACTCCCTACCCCTGTGCTTCTCTCCACAGATGCTGAGCCTGCTGTGTCTGAGCCTCTTCTTTGTTGGGTGCTCCACGGCTGAAACCCCAGGTGAGTCCTCACCCCATGCCACCCTTTCCTTCTACACTGGCTCCATGAAGCCCTGTCCCCAGGACCTTGGGGACACATGTGTGACCTGTTCTACCTTGGTGTGGGTGGCACGCTGAGCACTGGCCTCCTGACCTTCTGCTTTTTCTTGTAGCACCTGTGCCTGAGGATGTGCTGGTGGGCATTGTGGGGGGCCACAATGCCCCACAGGGGAAGTGGCCGTGGCAGGTCAGCCTGAGGATGTACATCTACTACATGGCCTCGTGGGTGCACATCTGTGGGGGCTCCGTCATTCACCCACAGTGGGTGCTGACAGCTGCCCACTGCATCCACGAGTGAGTTCCTTTGTCATCCACTGCTGGGCAGGATGAGGGGTAAATCAGAAAGGTCAGGCCAAAACCTGGGTCTGGAGGCCTGGATTCCAGGTGATTCTGTCCAGGTTGTGGAGAGCTTGCCCACAGGACTAGACTACGTCATCACGACTCCTTTCTGACCGCAGGAGAAATGCTGACCCGTCATCCTTCCGGATCCACGCTGGGGATGTGTACCTCTATGGGAGCAAGGAGCTGCTGAAAGTGAGCCAGATCATCATCCACCAGGACTATGTGCATGGTATCCTGGGGTCTGATGTGGCTCTGCTCAGGCTGGAGAAACCTCTGGACTGCTCCACTAACATCAAGCCTGTCAAACTGACCTCTGGGTCTCTTGAGGACACCTCAAGGCAACCATGCTGGGTGACTGGCTGGGGCAGGGTTGACGTTTATGGTATGTATCAAGGAAAGGTTTGGGCTGTGGGAACAAACTTGCCATCTGAGGATCCCTGGTGGGTGGCACTGAGGTCCTAGGGAGCAGGATCCGGGAGGGAAGAGAGGGCTACTGACAGTACAGGGTACCTCTGCTGTTCCCCCAGATACGTTAGACATTCATTCGAGTTCTGTGCCCGAGAACAGTGGCGTGGCTGGGCCCAGAACACAAGACACAAGGGAAAGGCCATCCTCCCTCCTCTCCCCCATCCTCTTCTGGGAAATACTAGAACATCTGGCTCAACTCTTTGGTTCTTGAACTACAGGCAGATAGATTTTTTTCTTGAATTATTTACATATTTATTTATGGGGGCATGTGTGTCATGGCATTCATGTGGAGGTCAAGAGACAACTTACAGGAATGTTCTTTTCCTTCTTTGAGTCCCTGGGGTTGAACTCAGGTCTTCAGAACTGGAAGCAAGTACTTCTACCTGCTGATCCATCTCCCCAGCCCCTAGAAACAGACAGAATCCATCTTTAGAGTTAGACTTGGAGTCTGCAGATTGGTGTCTCACACACACACACTGTTCCAGGGATGGATTTGGTAGGGATAGAGCTGTTCTCAGCTCCCAGGATGAGTGGTAGTGGACAGGGAGAGCCACATACCACCCGCCCTACTTCCTGTCTCCCCAGACCGGCTGCCACCTCCCTACCGCCTGCAGCAGGTTCGGGTGAAGATAGTGGACAATGCCCTCTGTGAGCAGATATACCACAATACCACCAGGCACCGCTACCAGGGCCACAGATTCATCCAAGATGACATGCTGTGTGCTGGAAGTGAAGGCCGTGGAGCCTGCTTTGTGAGTTCCATTGACCTCCTCTTTCCTGTTCCCGTTCCCACTTCAAGGCTAATACCTACTGAGGCTTCTTCCTCTCCCAGGGTGACTCAGGCGGCCCCCTGGTCTGCAGGGCGGCAGGCTCCTGGAACTTGGTGGGAGTGGTGAGCTGGGGCTACCGCTGTGCCTGGACTAAGGCCCCTGGGGTCTATGCACGCGTGCAGTCCTTCCTGCCCTGGATCACTCGGCAGATGAAGATGTTCCCCTGAGCCCAGCTGCTGGCCTCGTGCTGGTCAGCAGATGAGTCAGCTGACCTCCTCCAGCACCCACTGCTTCAGCCTTTTCGTGGTCTCCTGAACCACGAAGTCCTCTGGCCTTCTGGGAGTCTGGATATCCCTGGAGCAGGGAAGAAAGCAGGGAGGATGGCCAGCGGGGGTGGGTGCTTGAAGGGGTGGGGGGAGGAGTGGGGATTTGCTAATCATGCAGCTGTTGAAGTGTTGGCTGGTCTTAATAAAGGTCTTGTGCACATTCAAGTTCAGAGTTTTGTGTGAGTTTACATCTCCTTTTCTTTGGAAAGGATGCCTACAGGTGTTGTCTACCATATGTTGGCAGAAAGATCTGCCCATGCTACTAAACCTGTTGGTTCTCTGTGTCCTTGGACAGCTAGATAGTCACTGTTGGGCTTCAATATTTTGGCATCCCAAGTATACTTGGAGTCTATATGTGGCTACACTGTGTACAAAGAATTTGGGGCCAGGGCAGATGGTCAGCATGACAAAAGACTTTAGCCATCACCAGTGACACACTGTGCTTGAGATCAGGTGACTCACAGACCGTCCTCATCTTTCACCCCCAACTTCTTTCTGTGTTGGGACTCTGGAGACCCAGGTTCTCAGACCATATGGATAAGGTCACCTGAGGAAGAAGGGGCTGGAAAACAAGTGCCTGCTTCAGCACCCCTCTGCCAGAACCCCAGCCCCAGCAAGTAGATGTCCAAAAGCCCTGATGAGAGGTCAGCAGCCCAGGATGGGGCTGGCAGCACTTATCTAGAGAAGATTCTGAGTTTCCCAAGGAGGATACCCGCAGGTATAGGGCAATGAACTGGGGTCAGCTCTGTGGTGCATAGCGGACAGGGGAACAGGGGTGTGGCCTGGAGGAATGAGAAGGAAGGAGGATCGTAAGGGGTGGTCCCGCCCCTACCACTTATGGCTTTCGGTAGCTCATTGAGGAAGGCAGTGGGGGGTGGGCTGTGCTTAAAGGTGACTGGTAGCCAGGCAGTGGTGGCACACGCCTTTAATTCCAGCACTCAGGAGGCAGAGGCAGGTGGATCTCTGTGAGTTCGAGACCAACCTGGCCTACAGAGCTATTTCCAGGACAGCCTCCAAAGCTACAGAGAAACCCTGTCTCGACCCCCCACCCCAGATCCCTCCCGCAACCCGCAAAAAAGTTGATTGGTAATCAGTCAATTCTATGGCCAGCTGCAGGCCCCTAATCTCACAAACAGCCACCTGCCTGTGTCCACCCCTGCACCAGCTCCCCGTTCTCTAGCGGAGGGTGGGTGGACCCTGCCACCCCTGCACATCTGTCTCTGTCATGTGTGGCCTGGAGATGGATTTAAGGGGAATAACAGTAAAAGGAAAGGTGTCGGGCATTTGCTGAAAGCAAAGAGTAAATCCTTGGAAAATGTTCATTGCTGTTCGCTAAAGCGCCTCCAGGTGGTGCTGCAGGACGGGAGGCGGGCACCATGGTTCCGGCGCCTGCCCATTGGGTATGCAAGGGGCTCGGTCGGAAGGCAGAAGCTCAGCACCTCCTGGCAGGGTCTGTTTGTGCTCAGCAGGTAGGGAGTAGCCTTTCCCAGGCCTTTCAGGGTCGTTTGGTTTTTACATCTATTTCTCTTGGAGAAGGGAGATCTATGTGGCCCAGGCTGGCCTCAGCTGCCCATGCCAAAGCTCTTGCGGGACGGTGCCCACTCTTTTCATCGGCTCTTATTTGCTGTTTGATGGGTCACTTGCAGAATGAAGGTGGATGGCCTGGCATGTACTCCGACTGCACTGAGTCTGGGATGGGACGCGGAGGGCAGTGGTGGAAGCAGGATTTGGGGACCTGGGACCTTTCTACATGACAACAGGGTGAGGCACCCAACATGCCCACTCAGACTCCCGGCGCCCCTCCCACCTCCTGTGGGACCACACGGGCTAGGAGTTTAGTAATGCATGTGTACCTGTGAAGTCCCCAGGATCCCGCCAGAAGTGGATCCTACCAATCTGTTGCTCTCAGCCTGACATACACTCTGTGGCTCCTAATTATCAGGAGGCCAGATTGTTTACTAGGGAGAGACCATCTTTCTCAGCCTGTGGAGGCTCTAGGTCTGCCCAGCAGGATGCAATCCACTGTCTATGCTAGGGTCTCACATGTATTGGGAAAACACTCTACCACTAGGCTACATTCCCAGACCTTTTTGACATCTTGAAATAGTCTTGTTAAATTGGCCAGGCTGCCTTTGAACTCACTTGGCAATTCTCCTGCTTCGGCCTCCCCTGAGGCTGAGATGGCAGGCCTCCAGACCTGGGTCTCCCTTACTTATTGCTTCTGAACACATGAGTGTGACACCAGTGTCCTGGCTCTTCCCTTATGGCTGTCACAATCCACTGGAGGAATCTACTGGATCTGCTCGTCTGGGTACAGGTTGATGGACACTTCGGGCTGCTTCCAATCAGTGCTCTCAGGGGTAATGACGTTTTAACAGTTTGTGTTTTGTGTGAACACAGGTTTTCTCTTGGAGCAGCACCAACTGCAATTGCGGACTCACACAGAGTCTTTAAAGGACACAAGGCTCCCAAACCCGGGGCCGTGATCACATCCCGTTGACTGTGGCCAGGGCTTAGGTTCTCCTAAATTCTTGGTATCCACCGCTTCCTTGGCTTCAGGAATTCTGGGGGCTGTTCAGACATCTTCCCTGCTTCCCTGGTTTTATTTGTGACAGGATTCCTTTCTTTTTTTCTTTTTTTCTTTTTTCTTTTTTTTTTTGGTTTTTCGAGACAAGGTTTCTCTGTATTGCTTTGGAGGTTGTCCTGGAACTAGCTCTGTAGACCAGGCTGGCCTCGAACTCACAGAGATCTGCCTGCCTCTGCCTCCCAAGTGCTGGGATTAAAGGTGTGCACCACCAACGCCCGGCTAGGATTCCTTTCTGTAGAACAGGATGGCTTCAAAGTTGCAGTGATTCTCCTTCCTCAGCCGCTAGAGTGCTAGGCTTACAAACATTAAGTCACCACCCCTAGCTCTGTGTCCTCTCTTTCTTTGGGGACAGAGCCTCATGAAACCCAGGTTGGCCTTGAACCCCTGACCCTCTTGCCTTCGTCTTCTAGGAGCTAGGATTACAGATTGGCACCACTATGCCAGGGGTCTTAGTTTCATTTTTACTGTTTTTGATTTAAAAATGCCTTAACAAGAGCAAGTTAAGGGTGGAAGAGTTTGTTCTGGTTCCCAGGTACACTCCATCACTGTGGAGAAGGCGTGGAGGCGGGGCCAAGAGGCGAAGCAATCATGTGATAGTCACAGTCCAGGAGCAGAGCAACCAACACATGCTCATCAGCTCTCCTCATTCATACAGTTCAGGAGCCCAGCCAGGGAACAGTGCCACCTACCAGGTCATCCCACCTGAACCAGTGTAGAAGATAATTCCCCACTGGAATGCCCAGAGGCCCTTCTTTCCGGTGATTCTGTCAAGCTGAAAATCAACATTTTCACATTCAGTTTATTCTGGACTGGGGAATCCAATCCAGTGCCTCCAGCATGCTAGACAAGCACTCTCCCAACCGTGCCCCTCTCCCAGCTCTGTTCTCCCTGCTTCTAATTAGCATTTTTGTCAGAGCTAGCAGTGTCCATTTCACCACACATCCATACTTGCTATTTGCATATCCGTTTTGACGAATGTGCAAATGTTTTTTGTTGTTTTTAATTGCTTCCTAAGTTCTACATAATAAATGTCTTGAATCAAAGGCTTTTAAACATTTAAATGTTCTATGGAGAACTGATTCCGTTGCACAGAATGGGAGGAAGGAGGTGAACAGAACAAGGGAAAGGAGTAAAAAAACCAAGGGAGCTGAAAGTTCTGAAGGATCTAGCCAAAGTCATGGAGTCTGTCTATTGTGGGCACAAGACTACCCCGGCCAGTCCTGACCTTGTATCTGCTAATAACTGAGAGGAAGGAGGAGGAGGAGGTGAGGCTCACTGATGGCTTCCCCCAATCCTGCTGCATAAGGCAGGAGAGAGCCTGCGATCCCAGTGCTGTGTGTGTGCACACTGCCATCCCTGCACTGCCGGGTGTGTGCACACCTGCGATCCCAGCACTGCCGGTGTGTTCACACCTGCGATCCCTGCACTTCCGGGTGTGTGCACACCTGCGATCCCAGCACTTCCGGGTGTGTTCACACCGCCATCCCAGCACTGCTGGGTGTGTGCACACCTGCCATCCCAGCACTGCTGGGTGTGTGCACACTGCCATCCCAGCACTGCCGGGTGTGTTCACACCGCCATACCAGCACTTCCTGGTGTGTACACCCGCGATCCCAGCACTGCTGTGTGTGTGTTCACACCCGCCATCCCTGCACTGCCGGGTGTGTGCACACCCGCCATCCCTGCACTTGGGAAGCTGAAGCAGAATGATCATGAGCTGGTTGTCAGCTTGGGCTACATAGTGAGACTAGATCTTAAAAACTAATCTAGAAGAACCATTGGGAGACAAAGGACAATGTACATGTGTGACTTCAGATGAGACAAGCATGAGGACATGGTCCTCCGGGTACTAAGTTCAGGTAGCAGAGTGGCAGCTCTCCTAGCCAGCGCACGTGTGTTCTATGTGACATTTATTCAGTCTCCATAGGACCACAGCCAGGGCTGGGGAGACGGCTCAGTTGGCAAAGTGTGTGCCTTGTAAGTGTGAGGGCTTGTTCTTCTAGAGGTCCTGAGTTCAATTCCCAGCAACCACATGGTGGCTCACAACCATCTATAATGAGGTCTGATGCCTTCTCCTGGGGTACGTGCATGCACACAGATAAAAATCTGTATGCATAATAAAAAAATAAATTTTAAAAATTAAAATGTTAAAATATTCTTTAAAAAATCCACATAAAAAACCTGGGCATGGTAGCACACTTGTGATCCGGTAGCTGGGAAGTGGAGACATAGGAATTTTGGGCATACAAATGAGCCAGCCTAGGCTAATTGAGCAAGCCACAGGCAGGAGACCTTGTTTAAAAAAAATGATACAAGTCAGGCAGTGATGTCACACGCCTTAAACCCCAGAACTCAGGAAGCAGAGACAGTGAAATTTCTATGAATTTGAGGCCAGAGTGAGTTCCAGGACAGCCAAGGCTTCCTAGAGAAACCCTATCTCAGAAATAAAAGAAAGAAAGGAAGAGAGGGAGGAAGGGAGAGA